GTACTCCTCGGTCCTTCTGTTCCTTTCTTTGTTGTCACATCTGGTCTTTACCTCATTGCTGCTCTTGAAACCATTTTAGCTGATGCATGTTCATTAGAAAATACAGTTTCTAGTAAGAAGAGTAAGGGAGCTCTGGTAGCGTAGTGCCTAAGGCATTTGACTGCTAACTAGAAGGCTGGCAGTTCAAACGCACCAGTAACTCCTCGGAAGAAAGGTTGGGCAATCTACTTCCGTAGAAATAACTGCCTGGGAAACCCAAGGAGGGGTCGCTATGAGTTGGATCCGACTTGATGGCAGTGAGTTTGTTTTTTTTTAGTTAGTTGAGTTTCCTCTACAGGCTGATGGTAAAGGAATAAAATTAAATTTTCTTTAAAAAAGTTTTATGTCTAGGTTTTTTAAAAGAAAGATGGGGCAATCTACTTCCGTAGTGATACTGCCTCAGAAACCCAAGGAGGGGTCGCTATGAGTCAGGTCTGACTCTACGGCACATAACAACAACAACAACAACATTGATTTAGTAATTCCTTCCATTCATTCATTCAACAAGCAACTGGGTTTGAGCACCTTCATTGAGCCACATACTGTACCAAAATCAAACACCAAACCCACTGCCATTGAATTGATTCTGACTCTTAGCGACCTTATATGACAGAGTAGAACTTCCCCCATAGGGTTTCCAAGGCTGTAAGCCTTGTACAGAAGCAGATTGCCACACCTTTCTCCTGGGGAATAGCTGGTGGATTTGAATTGCTGACCTTTCATTTAACAGTTGAGCACTTTAACCACTGTGCCATCAAAAACCAAAAAACAAAACCACCACCATCGAGTCAATTCTGACTCATAGAGACCCATGGGGTTTTCAAGGCGGTAAATCTTTACAGAAATAGATTGCCCCATTTTCCTTCTGCGGATCAGGTGGTGGATTAAACCGCCAAACTTCTGATTAGCAGTTAAATGCTTTAGGCACTGTGCCACCAGGATTCCTTATATGTTCCAGGTGTTGGGAATGCAGAAGTGAATAAGTAATGCTTGCCATAGACTCGGCTGCAGCTCTGCCTACTCTGTAATGCTTTCCTGACCATCCCAGGGTACTTCAGTGACCTTGCTTTCAAGTTTCCATTACTTAAAATAATGGACTCCAGAATTGTAATTATCATTAACCTCTGTGCACTGCTTATTGCCACATTTTAGTATTCCTCTCTGTACATGGCAGTGGAAGATGTGAAATATTTCTGGATTTGCTATTGAATGGATTCATGTCAGGCATGCCATGAGGCTTTCTGCAGGTCAACCTCAGAGCCTTGTCCAGCTCAAGTTGCCTTCCTGAGCTGCGTTTTTCTTTCTTGCTGCAAGACCTAGGGACTAACCCTGCTCTCTTCATCTTTTAAAGTGGCAACCTCTGGTTCTAGTCGTTGGAGTTTTGCTCCCCCAAAATTGACTTTACAGTGATACACATTTACTTTCACTCCACCCCAAGACAGGCACATGGGGTTACTATGAGTTACAGTACCACAAGAGATATTCAGAGTCTAAAAAGGTTGGTGGTTTGAACCTACTAGTCGCTCCATGGAAGAAAGATAGGGCAGTCTGCCTCTGTAAAAATTTACAGCCTTGGAGACCTAGTAGGGGTTGCTATGAGTCAGAATTGACTCAATGGCAATGAGTTTGGTTGGTTGGTTTGTTTTTGAGGTATACCCAAAAGGATTGAAAGCCAGGGCTCACATAGATATTTGCCTAAGTTGCACACCAGTGTTCATTGCAGTGTTATTCAAAATAGCCAAAAGGAAACAATCCCAGTGCCCATCAACAGACAAGTGGATTAATAAAATCTTGGCATACACATACAATGGAATATTATTAAGCTATAAAGAGAAATGAAGTCCAGATACATGCTGCAACATGGATGAATCTTGAAAACATGCCGAATGAAATAAGTCAGTCACAAAGGACAAATATTTTATGATTCCACTGACATGAAATATCCAGACCAGGCAAATGCATAGAGACCAAAGTTTATTAGTGGTTGAGAGAGAGAGAGAGAGAAAGAGAGAAAAAGAGAGATAGTCATTGTTTATGGGGCACTGAGTGTCTGTTAAGGATGATGGAAAAATTTGGGAATGCACAGTGGTGATGGTTGTACACCATGATGAATGTGATTAATGTCACTCAACTGTACATGTAAAAAGTGTTGATATAGTAAATGTTTTACCATATTTATGTTTACCACAATAAAAAAAAGATATTTTAAAAAATCAAAAAAAGAAAACTTTATTATGTAGAAGTGGGTAATGTAGTCTTGTCTGTTTGAAATAGGAGATGTGACAAAAAGGATATGTCTGTATTACTCCAGCACTGTTGCCATTTGTCACATATTTTTTTGAGTGTCTATAAGATTCTACTGTATACTAGATAAGGAGCTCTGGTGGTGCTGTGGTTAAAGCATTGAGTTTCTAACCAAAAGATTGGCAGTTCAACCCCATTAGCTACTCTGCAGGAGAAAGATGAGGCAGTCTGCTTCCATAAAGATTTAAAGACTTGGAAACCCTGGAGGGTCACTATGTGTTGGAATCAACCCAGTGGCAGTGGGTTTGGTATCCCAGATGCTGTGATCCCACACCCAAACCCACTGCCGTCAAGTGAATTCTGACTCCTAGTGGCTGACAGCCAGTGCTTTAACCACTGTGCCACCAGAGCTCCTTACAATGACCCTAACCAAAAGCCAAACTCACTGCTATCAAGTCAGTTCCAACCCCTCCTTGGGTTTCCGAGATGGTATCTCTATGAAGTAGGTTGCCCAGTCGTCCTTCCAAGGAGTGGCTGGTGGGCTTCAACTGCCAGCCTTCTGGTTAGCAAGCAGTCAAATGCCTTAGGCACTATGCCACCAGGGCTCCCCCAGTGACCACTAGATGGTCTATTTCTACTGCCTAGCAGATAGCAAGCAAACAGGTGGTGACCATACGGCATGATAATGCCTGATGAAAACATGCTATGGGAGAACAGAGGAGGGGTTTGGACAGGGCCTAAGGTGAGGCCTTTTGAAGAGAAAAAAAACATTGGAATTTGAGTCCTTTTTTTTTTTTTTTTTGGATTCGAGGCTTGAAAAACCAAAACCAAACCCACTGCCGTTGAGTCGATTGCAACTCATAGCAACCCCTCCTTGGGTTTCTGAGGCAATATCTCTATGGAAGTAGATTGCCCAACCTTCCTTCTGAGGAGTGGCTTGAAAGGTAGACATAATCTAAGATGAAGGGAGAGGGACATGAGATAAGGAAGCCAGAGCCAGAAAGAGGAGACGTTTATTCAGAGAGAAAAATATTGTTTAAAGCAGCAGTTCTGCACAAAGTATGGTCCCTAGACCAGCAGTATCACCTGGGACTTCTTAAAAATGTAGATTCTCCCAGACTTACTCAAGACCTACTGGCTCAGAAACTCTGTGTATGGGGTCCAGCAAGCTGTATTTTAACAACCCCTCCCAGTGATTCTGATGCATGCTCAGGTTTGAAAACCACTGACCTAAAGGACTAGGGAGGTCAGAGTATTGCATTTTGTGTACCTTATTATCTGTTCTGGAAGAAGTGCAGCTAGAATGCTCCTTGGAAGCGAGAATGGCCAGGCTTCATCTCACCTGTTTTGGTCATGTTGTCAGAAGGGACCATTCCCTAGAGAAGGATGTCATGCTTGGTAAAAATGGAGAGTCAGCAAAAAAGGGGAAGGACTTTAACCAGATGGATTGACTCAGTGGCTGCAATCAAGAACTCAAGTGTAGTAAGGATTGTGAAGCTGGAGCAGGACCGGGCAGTGTTTCTTTCCTTTGTACATAGGGTCAAATGAGTTGTAGCTGACTCAACAGCACCTAACAACCTAACGACATTATCTGTAGCTGAAGGGGTGTAGTGGGAAGGGAGTAGTGAGAAATGAGGCTGGAGAGGTAAGCCATTATGTAAAAGAGAGGATTTTAGAGAGTTTTAACTCTATTTTGGAATAGGAATACACCATAAAACCAAACCCACTGCCATCTAGTAGCTTCTGACTCATAGCAACCCCCATTGGGTTTCCAAGGCTGTAAATCTTTACAGAAGCAGGCTGCTTCATTTTTCTTCTGTAGAGCAGCTGGTGGCTTTGAACCACTGACCTTTTGGTTAGTGGTTAAATGCCTTAACTGCTACACCACTAGAGCTCCTTGACCTGAGAAAAGGCACCTACTAAAACTCCACAGATACATGCATAACACCCCATACTTGATGGTGAAAGACTGAATGCTTTTCTTCTAAGGACAAGGCAATGATGTCTGCTCTTGCCAATTCTATTCAACATGTATTAGAGGTTCTAGCCAGGACAATCAGGTAAGAAAATAAAATAAAAAACATCTAGACTGGAAAGGAAAATTAAAACTATATTTGCAGTTTATAGAAAATCTTAAGGAATCCACTAAAATGGAATAGCTAAAATGTGCTCCCTACCTTCGAGGATCTCCCAGACAATGAGAGAAGATGGTGTAAGTGCTATGAGTATGTATATGTGAGTATTGTGGGAGAAGGAGGAAGTATTTCCCACAGGGAATTAGATATTTCACCTAGGTTCTCATGGAGTATGTAAATGTTTCAACGGAAGATTGCAGAGGGGATGGTAAGGGTGGGAAGAGGGCAGGCATTTCATTCATGAGGAGAATATATACAAAAGGACACAAGCGTGAAACAGAAGGGAGCAGTGATGAACTGCAAGTGTGACTGAAGAGTGGGGTTTATATGGGGGCAGTGGTGGGAAAGGGGGTCAGAGAGGTGAGCAAAGTCCAGATCACAAAGAGCCATCTATGCCATGCCAAGGAGTTTGAACTCTACAGGCAGTAGGAATGGCTAAGGATTTTAATTAAGAGAGTTTGGACCAATACATGATCACGTACAATGCCTTCGACGTTGCAAAGGGACCCTGGAGTCTTACCTGTTCATTTGTGCTGAGTAGACGTGATATGGTTTTAGCACTAGTATCATTTTCCTTTTCAGGTTTCTGGGTGGAACGGACCCCTGTGCATGAAGCAGCTCAGCGGGGTGAGACGCTGCAGCTGCAGCGGCTGATAGAGAGTGGTGCCTGCGTCAACCAGGTCACGGTGGACTCCATCACGCCTCTGCATGTGGCCAGTCTGCAGGGCCAGACACAGTGTGTGCAGCTGTTGCTGGCCGCTGGAGCCCGGGTGAGTAGCCCCTTTCAGGATAGAGACCAAGGCTAGGATGGGAACAGGTCAGGAGACTGCTAAGAGTGAGGAAAAGAAGGGATTTGAGAGTAGCCGTCTGATATGCAAACACTTGGAAAGAGAGAAAAGCAGTGAAGGAGACTGAGAGGGAAAAGTAGAGGGAACAAGGATAGGATGAAGTGGAAGCTAAGGAGGAAGGAAGAGTAGACACTGTCTAGCACACTGGGGACCTGGAAAATAAGGACTGAGGAGTGGTCATGGAGTTGACTATTAGGAGGTCACTGGCGGGTGGAGAGAAGGCAGTTTTAGCAAAATGGTGACCATGGAACTTGGATTTCATGGAGTGGGCAAAAAGTGAAGACCGCATAGTGCCTAAGGCATTTGACTGCTAACCAGAAGGCTGGTGGTTCAAACCCACCAGCCACTCCTCGGAAGGAAGGTTGGGCAGTCTACTTCCATAGAGATACTGCCTCAGAAACCCAAGAAGAAAGGGGTGGCTATGAGTTGGATCCGATTCAATGGCAGTGAGTTTGGTTTTGGTTTTCGTGGACAGCTTAAGCTTTGAAGAGTTTGGATATGAAAACAGTCAAAAAGGAACTGAAACACATGTTTCAGAGTATACCAAATAGAAGCTGAATTTGGACATATTCTAAATAGAATTTGCCAATTTAGGGAGTTGCCTTTTTCCTGCCCTATATTTTTCAAACTAGATGAGGCATGCTAAGTAGTTTCAGGCACTCCTTTTATTTATTTATTTATTTATTTATTTTCCTCCCCTTCCTCCTCCAGCTTTATTGGATAGTTTTAAAATTACAGTTCTATTTTCTAGGACGTCAGTTGCTTTTTCCATTTGACTTTTAAAAGCTGATTACAGCAAATGAAACACAGTTGTCTGAGTGATATAGTATACAAAAATAACACCTCGATTTCTGTGAAAATGCATTTCTCTGCAATTCCTAAATAGCTTCAAATTATGCTAACTCTGAGCATTGATGTGTACTCTGGATTTTAGATTTAGTCTTTGAAAAAAAATGTGTTCTCAACCTTTGCCATCACCATGTGTATATCCAGCATCAACTCTGTGATGAAGCTGTTCCTGTTTAAGTTTTTATCCTGGTTTCTCTCTCACAGTCATTAAGGCATATGTTTGTCTTTGTTTACTCTCCCTCAACTGTATGTTCTATGTAGGGCCTGATACAGATGTTACTTAATAGCTACTGAGGTCAGACAATCCAAGGCCATCATTATGCTAAAATTAAAGTTACTTTTCAGAAGTTCACAGACACTTCCAGAATTGGTTTTACCTCCTACATGGGAACATTTCAAGAAACCCAGAACGGGTTTTGCTGATCTGACGCAACTCTTCCCATTCATTATTTCCTGTTTACCAGTGGCACGGAAAGGGGGTTCTTTAACAGAGCATTATACACAACACCTCTACCAAACTAAACATAAACTTTTTTTTTTTTTGGTAGTTAAATGCAGAAAGTCTATTTTTTTTCCCACCCCTTTCCTCTTTTTAAACGACAAGTAGAGCTCACTGGCCTGGGAGTAGCTTCTATCTGCCAGTCTTTGGCCAGTGAAGAAGATTCAGAGAAAAGAATGCAACCATCAATCAGAAAAAGGAGGGGCGACAAAGGAAAATAATTAAGCTGTAGCCTCAATTGTGCATTCCCGTGCAAGGTGCCCTGACTCGCCACAGCGGTAACAGTTGACTTCACTTGTCTTGCTGCAGTTGATGACTACATGACCAGCTTCACCACACCTATAACACTTCACTTTGGTGCAGTCTTTTTGAATGTGTCCAAATTCTCCACAAGAATAGCACTTCTGCTCATCAGCGTGGTCACAGTCACAAGCCAGATGGGCTGGTTTGCCACAGTTGTAGCAACACTGCTCTCGCTCTCTCTTGGGCTCCTTGCAGTCCTTGGCAATATGACCACCTCTACCGCAGTTATATCAGGCATCCTCTTGAAGATCACAATTCTTGGCAAGATGACCAGACTCACCACAGCGATAACAGATGTCTCCGGCCCAGCTTCTCATTCCATGACTACAGCCTCCTCCAGTAGGGCATTCCTGGGCCCCGTGGCCAGATCACCCACATTTGAAGCACTTATAGCTGCTTATGGCTGCAGTTAGGTCTTCTTCGGTGTCTGAGCAGGCCCTCTGCAGCAGAGACTCAGATGCAGCCCTGGGAGAGGTGGCTCGCAAAGTAGCGGCTGTTTATTTTCAGGACCCTTGCCTGCGCCACATGTGGGTCTGCACCAGGCACTCTTTTATTTGAGGCCTGAGTTAAAATTCACTTTTCTCCCTTGCCTTTCCTAGCTTGCAACCTAGTGTTTGCTTTTTCTACTCTGTACTTATTAGGTGTTGAGGTGGTAGAAAGAGTGAGGCCGAGTTTATCCTGCTCTCCGGGGAAAAGAACCACAAACAGGACAACTTCTATACTTAGGAGGCTCATAAGGATGCCCCAATCCTTTCTTTCTTTCTGTCTTTGAACTCCCTGGCCTAGCATGGTGCCTTAGCATGTAACTGAAAGCCAGTGCTTCTAAGATGTGTCTTTGCAGAGATAAATCTGGATGAAGAGAAGGTGAATTGCATGGTTTCTGCCCCTAACACTCTTTGACACTTGTTTCTTTCACCCCATGAGGTGGATGCCCGCAACATTGATGGCAGCACCCCTCTTTGCGATGCCTGTGCCTCCGGCAGCATCGAGTGTGTGAAGCTGCTGCTGTCCCATGGGGCGAAGGTCAACCCACCCCTGTACACGGCATCCCCACTGCACGAGGCCTGCATGAGTGGTGAGTCTGGCCAAGGGGCCTGTTGGCCCCACTGTGCTCCTGGGCTCCTGCTTCCCTGTGAAAAAATCACCAGTGACACCTCAGGGCCTACTGCCACTTGTATTGCCTGCAGTCAGCATCATACATGACCCACTTTTCTTTTTGCTCCTAAGAAGTTTCACTCTTTTTTCTGGGATGAAAAGAGTTTGAGAAGGAATCAAAACAGACAGGAGGTGGAAGCCAGTGCTGGAGAAGGAAAGTTCTGGCTCTGGGTCACTCAGCTATGGAGATCATAAAATTATCCAGCTTGAGATACAGTCTTCATCAAGGGCTGTAGGCATTTGTTTCTATGATAGAGATTCTATTTCTTAGCTGAGTCTCCTGGTACATTTTGGGTGTTAATAAGAGAGATCAGTCAACTCTGCAGTCTTGCTGATCTTTGCTATAGTTTTGCCCCTGTAAGTTCCTGATCTAGTTGGAAGGTGTCTTAGTTTCCTAGTGCTGCTGCAACAGAACTATCACAAGTGTATGGCTTTAAAGAGCAGAAATTATTTTTGCACAGTTCTGGGGGCTAAAAGTCCAAATAAATCAGGATCTTGGCTGTGTTGATTCCTTCCTTTGTAAGCAGTTCTGGGCACTCCTTGATTGCTTGGCTTGATCCTCATATGGTGTCTGTCTTCCCCAGTGTGTATGTGCCTGTGTGTCTAATCTGCTCTTTTATAACCAGGAGTGATACGATTTAGAACTAATCTCTGATAGCATAGTGGCTAAGGCACTTGACTGTTAACCAGAAGGCTGGCAGTTCAAACCCACCAGCCACTCCTCGGAAGGAAGATGGGGCAATCTACTTCTGTAGTGATACTGCCTCGGAAACCCAAGGAGGGGTCACTATGAGTCGGGTCTGACTCCACAGCACATAACAACAATATACTCTGGTATGATCTAATTAACATAACAAAGAAGACCCAGTTTTCAAATGATTACATCCATAGGTATAGGGGTTAGGACTCCAACACATGTTTTTGGGAGATACAATTCAATCCATAATAGAAGGCAGGACCCAAACACATCCAAGATGACCTGTGCCAGAGGGCTGGACCAGGGAGAGGCTCACCTGTGTGATGGCAGGGGAGGGGTCGAGCAGGTCCTGTAGGTCCTGGAGGGAGTAAGTGAGGTCAGAACTGGACCTCAAAGAATGGACAGATTGCAGATGGTGGGAAGATAAGAAGAATACTGCTCCAAGCATTGGGGAAATTACTTATCCAATCTTATTAGATCATATACTACAAGTATAGACTGGAAACTGGGGGTAGGGGGTGGTGTCCTAGAAGCAGAGAGATGGGGGGCTACAGCAGTGGTCTGAATGCAAAGCAATTAGAGCTTAAACTAGGGTGGTGACATGGTAATGGGCAGAATAGGATGGATTCACTTAAAAAACATTGGGAAAGAATCAGTAGGATTTGGCATGATGAGGAACAGCAAGGGATAAAAAAATGATTCTGAAGTTTGAGTAGGAAGTGATGATATTGGATGAAATGGGTAGGCTAGGAATAGGGACCCTGAGAAGGGGGAATAAGGGCTGCATCTAGTTTAAAACATACTGAGTTTGTAGTGGTCAAGATAACCAAATGGGAATGGTCAGCAGATGGTCATATACATGGGATGGGATTTCAGGGCTACAGGTGGAAATTTAATCATTTCTTACTGAGCTGGTTCCCCTCACATCTCCCTGGTAACCCCCTTTCTGCCTCTTTCCTGGGCTCCTCTTCTTGTATCTGTAATGTGGGTCTGATCAAGAAAGTATAAGAGAAGTTCATCAAATTCTTCAAGAAGGCTTAGGCTTGGGATACCTATATGTCCTTACCACCAGGCTTAATGCTACCCTAGATTAGGAGGTTGTGAACACTTTCCCACCGAGGACTCTTGGGAATGGTGAGGAGTCTGACTGTTCATGGTGGCATTCCCAAACTTTGTTCTTGTAGCAAGAGGGCTGACCATGCAGCCATGCCCTCCTTTTCTCCCACTACCAGGTGGGCATGGTGAATCATCCCACTCCTCTTAGAAAAAGAAGAACCTTCCCTTTGCTTCCCCAGGTCCATACAGGAGTGTAAGCTGCTCCTTAGGTTGGCATATGGTTCTCATTTCCCCTTACCTACCCTGTACAACTAAGCATGGGGCTTATCTCTTCCAACTACCATGTCTGTCATGTTTATTACTTCACATGGTTATATTTATTGACTCTTTTGACCCTTTTCTATTTATTTTAAGGAAGTTCTGAATGTGTGAGGCTTCTTATTGATGTTGGGGCCAATCTTGAAGCACATGATTGCCACTTTGGGACTCCTCTGCATGTTGCCTGTGCAAGGGAGCATCTGGACTGTGTTAAGGTGCTGCTCAATGCAGGTATGTTAGTGTTTACTATGAGTCAGCAGGAAGCTGGGGGGACAGTCGGATGAGGGTTTGAAGCCAGCTTGTCCACTTGCCAGCTGACACCTATATATAAAATTAGAAAAATAAAACCTGTTTTGTGGTGGTGTTGGGAGGATTGGTGATAACATTTCCATACTACCTTGTGCTAAGCAAATGCTAATAATAATTATTAAATGACAACAGCAACTATCCACTATACCTGTCTAATAAAGTTGCTATCTAAATCAGAAAGAGATGGGACTCTAACATGAGATGGAGTGAGCAGTGCTTAGGCAGGGCTTTTGGAATCCAGGTCATCATCACTTTTTCTAAGAAGACTCAGGATATAGAGGTTCCTAATGTTGTCAGCTTAGGAGCTCTGGTAGCGTATGCCTAAGGCACTTGACTGCTAACCGGTTCAAACCCACCAGCCACTCCTCGGAAGGAAGGTTGGGCAATCTACTTCCGTAGTGATACTGCCTCAGAAACCCAAGGAGGGGTCCCTATGAGTCAGGTCTGACTTGACAGCACATAACAACAACAACAAAAATGTTGTCAGCTTAGTTTCTTTGAAGGTAACAAACACAAAAACCCCAACCAACTGAAGATTAAATTCATGACCTGTCTACAACAGAAGTTTTAAAATGTAGCCAGAGTGTATATTGACAAGGTGTTTTGATTTTAAATCCAACTTAAATATTTTGTTGAGGGAAAATTGTAGTTGAGCCATTTCATTCATTCTGTGTACATTTTAGGATGAAGAATAGAACCTTTAAGAAATAAAAAGACAATGAATCTCTCCAGATGATCATTTGAAATTAAGTTACATGTACTTTTCTATTAGTGAGTCTTACTCTCTTTAATATGCCACTTTTAAATCTTTTCAGCAAAAAAGATTCATTTTGTGTGTGGTTAATTATTGGAATATTTTCTTCATTTTTTACACAATGCTAAATAAAATATGTATATTAGAAGCAATCATAAGGTCTTCCAGCTAAGTTATTTATCTGATAGTTAGATACCATTTCTATCAACATAGGAGCTCTGGTGGTGTAGTGCCTAAAGCATATGACTGCTAACCAGAAGCCTGGCAGTTCAAACCCACCAGCCACTCCTC